CAGTACATCAAAAACGAAAGAAAACCATTAATCAACATATGAACATTACCTCTGAAGTTACAGCAGTTTTATTAGAGACACAGCTAAGCGTTTTGCATTTTGCGTAATTTTAAAAAGTTTAAATTTGTTCAGTAGCCCATTGAAGGGCAAAAATAAGGGTTTTTTTCGGAAGTAAGTAAAAGGAAAAAAAAAACATCGGCCGACAGTGCTGTAAATAACGATAGTCTTGTGTGTAACAAGCAAGAAAGAAAAATTGCAGGCATGCTATACTTTCCTTATAGATTTCTTTTTTCTGAAGCCTTGTTCTTTTCCCATCCTTCCCCACTGTGAGATGTTATAACCTAAGGCCCAATTAATCCTAATGACCTGAACTTTATGCTCCTTTTTGCTCTGCTTTTATGTTGTATCCAGGCATTGTCTGAACTCATCAATTAATCTGCTTTAAAGCACTTTTTGTTTTCTTCGATCATGGGGTTTTGAGCTGTGGTTTTGGTGCTCCTGTTGTTGCAAAGGTCTGTACCAAGCTGAGCCACAGGAAGGTGGAGGTTTTCACGAGCACTTTAGGCCCTCTTTGATCAGAAATCGAAACCCATTTTTGTTTCAATGCTTTGGTCGGGAGCAGCCACCCTTTGAAAATGTGGTCGCACTCTCAATTTGATCAAATGTTGCAATAATTGCCATGACTGAAGAATAGACTGTATTTTCAGAAATGTTCCTGTGCATTGCATTCATAGTCTGTGCACGCGTGCATGTTTTTATTCATTTTGTTTGTGGCTTTCCTAGATGTGGAGGTTAAGAATACACGTGTCAGCTTTTACACTAAACATAACCCTTGAAATCAAGATTGTCAGTGAATCAACAGGATATTCTGCTGTCTAATAGTTTTCAAGTTAAGTTTGGATACATGTCATAAATTAAGAAGCAACTGGGTTTCATTACACTTAGTTGTGATTTTTGACCCAAGCAGAGTTCTGCACCATTTTAAATGCTGTGCTAAACATGTTCTTAAACTCCTGTAAGTTTTATCCCCTCATCTCCAAATATGGTCGTTAACATATTAGATGAACCCAGAATGAACTGGATTTAATTTTTGATAAAGACAGCTCTGAGCTGTCCTTGAAAATTTAATGGCAATTTAGCCATCAGTCATTTTTATGCTTACAAGTCTGTGATCATATTTGTTCCTTGCTTTAAACTAATTACAAAAATGTTTTTCAAACTCTTAAATTTGTACATTTTTTCATGTTTCTTCCTCCCATTTGTCAGTCTGATTCCCTCTCCTTTTATTTTTCATGTTACCCACAGGACGTGTCCACAGTATCTGGATTCTCCAGTGGACCTAATTGGTCCGGCACCTTGGGCCAGTCTCAGTCTGTCGCCAGTATCCCGAGGTTGTCTCCCAAGGCTGAGACCAAGAAGAGGAGGGCCCCACCACCGCCTCCTGCCCCTGCACCCAGAATGGAGCAAACTACAGTTGAAAGCTGTCAGGTGAGGAAACAGTTTAACCTGTGCCAGATTTATGTTATTTATGTTTGTGTTTCATGACAACGCTTGGACTGGAATTGTGAGTTGTGAAATTGAATCCATATCCTGTGTTTTAAAGCAGTAACTCGTACCAGGAAACACAAATGAAATTAGTTATTATATAAAGATGCACTGTATATGCACATTACTTAAAAACACAATTTCAACATCATTTTAATGACACAGCTAATTTTGTGCATCTTATGGAAAATCTGCATCCTGGCAAATAACTCTCAGCTTTCAGCACTGACCCGATGGAGTATATTTGAAAGCTGCAATCAGTCTGATGCAGAATTTCCTTTAGGTATTCTGACCTCAAAGTCAGGATGACCTGTATTGTCTACAATAAGCAACAACTCCCTGCAGTCTTATTATAGTGTTATGGAGGCATGCTACTAAATGTTGTTTAGCAACCAACATCCTTCTGCCCTCCCTCTGATAATAGGTTTTATTTATTTTAAGGAACCAGTGATCTTGAAGAACATTATTCAGCATCTAAGCATTTAATGGATTTTTTGCTTAATTATTTCAAAAAAGAGCAGAGTATGGAGTAGAAAAGACTTCTGAGAAATAATGCGTGCACTGAAGGGGGCCGCAAATACAATCCTAAAAGATTTGATTCACAGTCTCTTGTTCTCAAAACATTAAATATGCAATAAACAATATTAACTAAAGCACTAAAGACAAAAATACCACATAGCCACGAGAATCAATGTTCATTATTCCACATCCAACTTTGTGTTTACCTCAAGTTAACTTATCAGAAGTCAGCCAAAGCGTTCAGCTATCTGTGTCCTTTAGTTGATAATGGCAGAACAACTACAAGAGGACCCTTTGAGACGACATTAATACACCTTCAGTGTCAACTCACCTTCTAAATTGGTGTCCTCTTTATTAGAATAACTGAAACGTAAATATAGATATTTTATATTCCTGTGTTTTGCAGTCCTTTGTGACTCTGAGTCATAGGCTCCTTATAGCTGCTGAGCAGACAGAGATGGTAATTTATCTGTCCACCTGTCAGATTAAGAGTTATGACAGATACCAGGGCTCAAATAACCAGACACCACCCAGACTCACAGGAGAAGCTGGAGTTGGGAAGGTTATCTGAGGACTTGATGGACAGTCTAATAATAGATTTCTTCATTTTTTCCGTATGCCTTCTCTAAACTGTTAGCCTATCACATGTATCGTAATGCAAGGTCCTACTGCGGTGCAGGTCACCTGTCACGTGTCCTTGTTTTTGAATATTTTTGATGTGTTTAGATTGTTTTATCGACAGTTCAGGTGCACACATTTTACAGAGTAAAAACAACACATAAAACTGAGATAGTCACTTAGAAATGAATGAAGGGATTTTAAAGGGTTGTTTGATTAAAAAAACAGACTGTGTGTAACGACGCAACAGAAGTGCAAGGTGTCAGGCTTTAGCGCTATGCCTGGCGTGTTTGTGTTTCACGAAGGTGACTAAAAAAGATGCCATAGCAGAGAGGCTTCTCAGGACAGTTTCTGAGGGCATATCAGGACACTGGCATTAACGAGCTCTTAGTTCTTGAATATGTGGTCCAACTGCAGATGTTAAATCAGTTTGCATTACATTTAAAAGTTGTACTTTCACATTTACATTAGTTGTTTGAGGGGGTGGGGTGCTAAACTGGGGGGGGGGGGACTTGCAAACTTTTATGTCTGTAGATGAGCTCTCCATCTTCTAAAAGTTGTAGCTCCAGTGAAAACAGATGTCACACCATAAATTTTATTTGTTGAGCAAATGGCCCAAATAGCTTTGGATAATGCAGAAGTAAACAGTTGTCAAATGTGGAGATTTTTTATATTTTATTTATTTTCATTTTTATTTTGTTTTATTTTTTTGTTATATTTTGCTTACTCAGACATGCCGTGGAAATATCTTCTCAGTTCTGCAGCACGTAGTTGACTCCATGACACATGAGATCATGTGAACGTGCATGTTTGATTGAGGACAACTGGATAGATGATAAACTTTTATTTATCATATATTTGCATGTTGATCATTTATTCTTACCCATGTTTTTAGAATACAAATTATCTAAAATAAAATAAAAATGCCAGTGCATTTTATACAGAGCTTGCGTCTTTATGTAAAATAAAAACACAAAATAGGAAAGTGTATTTTTGTCTTTCAGGTTTTTTTTAAAAAAAATAATGTTTTTTTAGAAACTGTGGGCATGTATGACTATTAAAATAGAATTCAGAAGTTAATGAATTTCTTTTTAAGAACCCGAGATTCTTTCTTTCAGTCATTGACTTTGTAACAAACATTGGAGAGTTTTTCTGGGACTTTGTTACACAACCAAACAATGACTAACCAGTGAAAAACATCTTCTTCTTTTTTTTTTTTTGCTTATTTGCTTTTTTTACAGTTACTATCAAAGCTGCACTCTGGGGGGGTTCTCAGATGGCTGAAAACTTTCTGACCTTTTCCGTATTTTCCGTAAATTTAACAGAGTCAGCGTTCCATGCGTTCTTTCTGAGAGTCATAGGCAGTTTTTACAGGACACAGGTCATCTCAGGACAGCTCTCTGTGACAGCTGTCCTCATTATAGAATTCCCTATGCGCCAAACAGGCTTAGGTAGTCAACTAATTATGACTTACAAGACAGTAATTGACACTGGCATTGCAGTATAAGCTATAAGAATGATGAGATTGTTATAATGAAGCTAAGTGGCTTTAAATAGACATCAGAGACCAGAGATCATTATGTGTGGCCATTTGTATCATACAAGCAACATAGTTTGATTAAAATCAATGACAAAATTAGGAGGGTCAGACTCTCTTGATTACTGACTATGGAAATAAAGCATTCTTCACATGAAAGGTCAGAGTGTTGAAAAGCCAGCACCAGTTTACACCCTCTGTGTCTATCCCCAGTGACTGATCAGAGAATGAGTAGATGCATATAACATTTAACTCAGTGGTTCCCAAACTTTTTTTGCCACGCGCCCACATGCATGCGCAAACACATCCTTTAACCACACACTCCCATATTTTGCTCCATTGCGCTTTATTTCACACCTCAAACAATTAGTAAACAATTAACTAAATACAAGCAATCTGCAATAAATTACAGGTATTAAAAAAATAAACTACTAACTCTTTTACGCTACGCCCACACCTACATGGGTATTTTTGAAAATGCAGCTGTTTCTATGTGTTTGGACCTTTCGTCCACATGTACGTGTAAACGAGGAATACAGAGGTACTAGAGTCACGTTACGCTGTGCGCCACGTTATTGTTTACATGAGATGAATTGCAGAATGGCAGATAGTCAGCTTAACAGTACTTTGTCTCTATCTGCAGGTTTACACGCTTACATACACACACGCAGTTAATGTCCCTCTATTTACAAAAGCAGAGGCATCACAGTGTGATTATTTAACGTGTAGTTGTTTTTTTTCTGTGTAATAATATTCAACATTGCTATCAATACATTTTTCAAAAAATGCCTCTCTGTGCAAAATGGGTTTAAAAACATAAACAGCTGTAGGATACTGTTTGTCCGGGATTTGAACCGGGGGAACAAATCGTGGCAGGACCAGCCTGATGTTATTTGTATCCCACTGTAACTTTACTGTATAAAGAGCTAACATCTCCAAAGTGTCAGGAGTAGTTAGTCATTACAACAAGTGTTTGAACTAAAAATCAAGAATGTGGGATCCTGTTTGTCCGTGATTTGAAGAACCCAGCGCTGCTCCCGACGAAGGGAAAACCAATTCTGCAGGGGAGACCTACCTCGGCACTTGTGCAGGTGAAACCAAAGGGAAGATATGCTTCACCATATTTTCTAGTCTTTGGCTTAGAATGAAGTTGGTTTGGAAACATATTCAGCGATGCTTCATCTCCTGCTTTGCATTTGTGTGGCCGCCCCATCAAAAACCTGTCCATTATGCTAGCAGTGTCCAAGCGTTTTGTTGTTGTTTTTTTTTGTTTTTTTCCTTTTCATACCGCGCCCCCCCCTGCAATGGCTCTCCGGGCGCCACACTTTGGGAAGGTCTGATTTAACTGAAGCCCTGTCCCTTGTTTTTCCTTTTTTATAGAGGCCTTAAAACTGAATTGTATGTAATCAGGATGTATTACTTATATATTATTTGATCTGAATAATGAAAAGCTGTTTCAGAGCTACGCTATTAGCTCAATATATTGATTATGCAACATTTTTAATGAGTCATTACTATGAGCTTAAACGTTCACTCAGGATACATTGCAGAGAGGTGCCTCTTTTATATGAACTTTGAACGAGTACACTCATTGCCCTGCAAAGATTACAATAGACAAGAGACCAAAGTTTCAGTAAAGCTGTTAGGGAACTAAGCAACACTGGTGTAGTCAGTGATTGCTGGTTAATTAAAGTGCAAATGTATGTTTTTGATTATTCTTTTTAATGAAAAGTAGGAATTAAAGCTGGCTGTCAGCATCCAACTCTAGTTGTAACGACGGCAACAGCTATTTTATTATATTATTTTTTATTTATATACAGCAATAAAAGTGACACTCTGGGATTGGTGTCACATTTCCAGATGAATGTAAAACAATTCTCTGCTATAGGAGAATTAGATGCTCTTTGATCAGTTGATGACTCCAGCATGGAGGGAAGTTACAGCTTTGTCTTTTTTATTTTCCAGCTCGACAGTCAACAATCTGTGTATGTCTTTACGAGAGACAGACTTAATTGAATTATGTTTTGGAACATCGAGCTCAGAGAAACACAACCTTGTTTTTTTTTTTCCAGCAGTGATAGGCAATCTGTTATTGTGGTTTGGGATGAAAGCCGTGTCTGTGTTGCCTCGTGTGACAGAGAAATTGAGAGAAATTCTGAGCTCTCTGCTTCACTGCCCGTAAAAAGGAGATACGTCTTGAATAAACACATTTTTTTGCTGTGTGTACACGAAGAGTTAGGACATTTGAAGTAGAGAGTAAGAGAGGTGA